GATTCCAGGGTGTGATTCCAAGGGGAGCTGCTCCCTTTTCCAGGCACCTGGGGCTGACAGGGGGTTTGATCCGGGATTCAGGGAACGCCCCCTGTGCGGTTCCTGGTGCTGTTCCTTCATCTCAGCGTTGCTCTGGTGGGAATCTCATCCTTAAAATCTTGTGGCCTGAGGCAGGGGTGTCATTCCTTCCCCCTGGGAATGTGGAGAGCGAGCAGACAGATGGAATTTCCAGCCTTTTGGGCACCTTTGTTCCCCTCCTGAGGCTCTTCCATCCCAATGCCTGTTCCCTTCTTCCTTAATCCTGCTCCGAGGGCAGGAAAGGTGAAGGAAAAAACCCTAAAACCTGGAAATATCCCGGTTTTTATTAGTCCTGCCCTGTGGCTCTTTACCTTTGTGTCCAAGCAGAGCCTGGAATTGGCTCCTTTCATCCCAGATTTCTTTGATTCCAAGTGGAGGTGAGAGAGGGAACCCCCTGGATCATTCCGGGGGTCTGGGCTGAGGAGGAGGGTCCCCACCCCGGTGCTGGAGGGTCTGGAATGTCCCATCCAACCTGGCAGAGATCCAGGATTCCAGGGCCCCAGAGATCCAGGATTCCAGGGGCCCAGAGATCCAGGATTCCAGGTCCTTAGAGATCCAGGATTCCAGGTGCCCAGAGATCCAGGATTCCAGGTGCCCAGAGAGCCAGGATTCCAGGTGCCCAGAGAGAGAACCAGAATTCCAAGTCCTTAGAGAGCCAGAATTCCAGGTGCCCAGAGAGTCAGGATTCCAGGTGCCCAGAGAGTCAGGATTCCAGGTGCCCAGAGATCCAGGATTCCAGGTGCCCAAAGATCCAGGATTCCAGATCCTTAGAGATCCAGGATTCCAGGTGCCCAGAGATCCAGGATTCCAGGTCCTTAGAGATCCAGGATTCCAGGTCCTTAGAGATCCAGGATTCCAGGTGCCCAGAGATCCAGGATTCCAGGTCCTTAGAGATCCAGGATTCCAGGTGCCCAGAGATCCAGGAATCCAGATCCTTAGAGATCCAGGATTCCAGGTCCTTAGAGATCCTGGATTCCAGGTCCCCATATTTCCAGGTCCTTAGAGATCCAGGATTCCAGGTCCTTGGAGAACCAGGATTCCAGGTGCCCAGAGAGAGA